TTTCCATGGCAAGCCGTGGACGGAATAGCCTATTGATTCCTGATGATGATCCATATGCCAGAGACACCGGTCTTAGGGCATACAGGCGTCTTCACTCCCTATTTTATACTCTGCAATGCACTTATCTATCCAATTCCCACAGAGTTCTGTCTGCTATGAAAGGGGCGCTTGCGGCTCTGAGTCCTGAAGAAGTTGATCCATTGTAACGTGAAGCCCATTCTGATACCATATTCAATTTTTTTGATACTGTCAAGTCAACTAGAGACCTCCCTGTCAAAATGCTTTCTCTCGGCGACCTCCGACGGACGATCCTCTTCCCTAATATCCGCATGTAGCTGCAAATACTGATCGTGGGACTGCCTCGATTTGAACTCCATTAGAAGATCATGTCCATCGGGATAGACCTTCTCCCAGAGAACATGGAACGGGTGGTAGTCGGCAACCGTGTCGAAGTTCAGGAGACGGGAAAGGAGCCAATGAGGGTAACTATGTTGTAGAGTTTGTCGAAGAAGAGTGTTTTCCTGCTGAGAGATTGACTGGGAAGTGTCATAAGTTGCAACTTGAAAGCCCTGCTTGAACGCCTCCCAAAGTGGTCTTGCAATTTTATTCCGTGGCTGCGGCAGACCAGGCGCCGTGACGGCCACGGACAGAGGCACAGAAGAACAAAAAGCCCTGTCAACGATGCATGTGATGTTGTACTCCCTATCAATGAAGACATTGTTGACGCTAATGTCTGGGTGATGGAGCGCGCCATCCTTATTTCTTGGGGACCGTAATAGCCACTCCACTCCGTCAGCAAAGAGGATAGTGATTACCCAGTTGAGACTGCCACTGAGCGGAACTTGGGACGGATCGCAGTCGCAACGAATTCCACCACGAAGGCAACTTGCCAAGCGACAAAGAGAATGAATATCGAAGTCTGCATGGCGAAAAACTTTCGGGCGTCGGATGGCCGGTGGCATCTCGTTAAACAGGGAGCAGTGTAGAGCCTTTGTGGGAATAGATAACTAAAAAGTGCCCTTTTCTGCAGCTAGACTATAAGAGCAACTATTGACATGCACTTATGCCTGGCTTGCGGAAGATTATCCATCAAACAACATCATGCAGGGCATGAGAATTGAATATAATTCTATTGGTGCGGATGCGGCTCTTAAGGCAGCACTGGACATATAAAATTGTTCTGTATTTTCCGGTAGGACAAGAGAAAGTACCAGTAGCTGTCATGGCTACCAGAATTTTTAAACTGCCTGATGGTGGCGCCTCCTGGCCTTCCTACCTAAAATACCAACAAGACACCAAGAGGTCTGTGGTAATCAATCCTGGTTAGCTTGACACTCCCAAACGGTGATGCAGTTCCAGCTCCATTCGCTCCTCGGGGTGCGGCCCTGAAATGATTTCATCAATATCTTCCCCTTCAGGGAAGTCGTACTCCCACGGTTTTTCTCCGGCTCCGCGCATTATTGCTGAAACAGATGTTCTAAAATGCCATCTTAATAAGTCATCTTTCACGCGGAGAGGGTTGTTGGGATCTCGACACTGAAATCCTAGAGTTCGTCCATCCACATTGTGAGAATCCTCTGTGAAGCAGGTAACTTTATAGTTGTCCTGTTAGTCAAGTCAGCCAGATACATGCAATATAGAATAGTTGTTTGGGGGTGCAGGCTTAACATCTGGATTTACTGCCACAATATAAGCATCAAACAGGGTATGAATACCACCCTCCAGGAGAATACCATTCTGTGGAGAATGGATTTTTGACTGGCCAATCTTTGAGGTAGGAGCATTATCATCTACAACTGTAGTTCCAAATCTTCTGGTATTCCACTCGGATTCTCTATCGTAAGGGAAAATGTGGCATGCTTCAAAACCGATCATGTGCGGGGGGGCAACCATTCCTGATATCATACAACCTCTGTCTCGAGCGCGTATAGTATTTCTGAAATATTGCTTCTAGTAAAATATTAGTATTAATCCAACTTCATCAAAGAGCTTCATGATACTCTTGCAGTAAGTTTACTTGTGCCTTGCTCAGACTTGATACGACGAGCGTAGCTCAAATCCGAAGGTCGAACTGCAACAAAACCCCCGCCTAATACAAAGGTCAGCGCGGAAAAGAAAAACTTCCGCTATACTTTTCAAGATCAACTAACTAGGATTAAGCAAAATGTAATGGCCAAGCTCCATTGACTGGCCAGATGGAGCTACAACTGGCCCAGTGGAACCATCCGCGTTTGCTCGAAAAATGGAGAATGCAGCACCGGGAGGAGTCGTCTCTAGGAAGAGAGGGCACATATCATAGAAGTTCTGACATGTAATGGACCCATTCTGAAAAAAACCTGGTTCAAGAGAAGAAATCAGTAAGTACCGATATTTGCTGAAGGAATCATGGGAGCCAACCGCCGATAACCTCGCCTGCATCGTTGTATAGATGCACATTTCGAGACATGGGGTAAGACTCTGGACGAGCAAGATTTCGCGCCATTCTCATTCAGGGGCACAGGGGTATATCAAGATACAGAGGCCTTGTATGTATATGGAATCAAAGACGGGTTGTTATGTCAGAACTTGAGGCAGTTAAGAGAATTTGGATCATTGCAGTGAGTGGGAAAATTAGAGAAAGTGTTCCCGGAAGAGTTGTATTTGCCCACGGCATCAGGAAGATTGTCTCTATGGAGCAAGGCGGGCAATGATGCCATCTAAACACTTTTAACAGTTTTATAATAATAGGGAGGATAGGATGGAGTAATTAGCAAGAATCATGATATCAGAAGATTGAAGCTGTGATGAATTAGACTTGGTTCAAGAGGTTTGCTTAACTTAGTTAACTAAGTACCAGCCCCAGCACCTCCATGGTATGTGCAGAAGACGGGCCCAACATCCTGATGATGAGGAGGTGAAGAATCTGATAATTTGTGCTGGGTTACATGTGTTGGGGTATAATATCGCAGTGTCTCTCCTATTCACATTTTCAGCGGCTGAACTCGAAGTTATCAAGCATATAACTATGTAACGGCGAGCTCGCAATTCAATAGAAGGCAACCAGGTAAAGATATGTCTGAGGTGTTATAACTGCTATTTACCCCGAGAGCATATCTTTTGACCTTTTTGCCATGCCGGCACAGCTATATGATAGAGCTGTATTTTCGTTGGCGCATTAGCCAGGACTGCTCTACAATCTGGTTTATAATATTCTACTTTTTTTTCAAGTTTTTTGCGATTCGTATCTCGTCCCCGTCAGAGAATGTTCCCGTTTTGGCTGTTGAGAAAGTATGATGGTAATGAATCCCATTAACGTGAGTCAAGCAGCAAGAGGAAGACAGCAAACTTGTTATGCCCTACAGTATTCGGCTCTGAGCTGGGATATATTAGCGATGAGAACTGTGAGGCCGGAGGCTAGAAACGTATACTTAGGAACTATAGACGAAGAATATAGTATGAGGGTGCGCAGTAATCGCATGGTCTCTACCCTAATCTATAACAAAATAATCATGCTATCATGCTATCCAAAATTAGGAGCCAAAAGGACAATCTTATAGACAAAAGCAATCCGTTTAGTTACCTGCCCGAATCAGCTTCCCCAATCCGATACCTTCGAATATGACTTTTCCGGAATCGCACGTCCTGATATCAGGTCTCGCGCCCCGATTCCTCCACCTCGCATAGTTTTCGTTGAAACATCAAAGCAAGCATTGGTTATCGTTCCGTTAGTGCACAGCGGCCAGAGCTCCTTGTGCTCCATGTCGCAAAACAGTTTATCAGATAAAGAGGCGAAATCTGGTCCCACGGAGGTCTCGCTTTTACACAGCTCCTCCGCCTTATGCTGCGGCCAGCCGCTCACGACCAGAACGTCTCTCATGAATTTTGAGCGGCGCTCGAGTGCACGGCGCGTCAATCGCGGCCTGCCCGGCGCACCGTGAAAATTATCGCGAACCATTAGGGGCAGGCTTTTCTCAGAGGTGGGTTTTCCTGGCACCAAGACCTTCTTGATATCCTTGTCCACCAAGCCTGGCCCATACTCAAGGGGTGGGGAGAAAATATAGGTACCATCCTGAGTTACCATGTGCTTGTAGGTGTGGTATCTTGGCCGGCTGCACATTGTCTCTGGGTAGATCTGGTATTGAGTTTTACGATCGTTCCCGCTGACATCGAAATCGATAATATGCATGCTGAAGCCTTGAGCATTGAAACCGTTACTTCCATCTCGATCAATCCAGACACACCTTGGACGGTGTTCTCTTTTGCCATCTTTACCGGACTCCTTGAGTAATGTTTGGGTATAATACCAATCCGAACCGCATGCCTGCCCGACGTCTCCGATCCAGCCATATTTCGCGTCATTCCACGCCATTGCAATCCAGGCAATACAGATTGCGTCTATTCCGCCGTTACTTATCGCAACGTATTCGGCGAGCGGTTCCCCAATACCGCGAAAGTGTGGAACAAAGACGTCGCGAGGACTGCCGTTTTCAATGCGATCGTTGGACCCAAAAGCTTCGCCCAACCTTTTACCATAAACGTCCCAGAGAGCCACTCCTGGAATGTTACCGCTAGAAGACATTCTTTCTTCCATCAGCCCTACACCAACCTTGATCGTCGTGCCTGGTTTTTTTCGATTTGGAATCCATCCTGGTACCATTGCACCAACCATTCCCAACCCCAAAAGAGGACCAACAACGTCCAGGACTGACCTGGCATGATTGGAATGCACCGTGAGTTGGGTATTGAGGGTAGTATTAGTCACCGAAAGGGACATCGGTTGCGGCAGCAGGATAGCTCAAGAATGTGATCAAACAATGGGTTCATAAGTAAGCCAGTAAAACAACCGCTTTGGGTGGTATTTTGGTTAAACGGATTGCGGGAAATATGGATTTGGCATCAAGAAACCAGCTAAATAGGTAGAGGCCAGTTAGATAATGGTTACCTTGTGGTGTTGGCCGAGGAACGAAAACTCGGAGGAGAGGATTATATATATCACTATATGGAATCACATAGCGAATTGCTCTTCGAGTGCTAGAAGTGCAGCTCTCTGTTGTTTCCGCGCGCCAGCGTATTTCAGCTTAAGCTGCGAATGATGGCACAATTGTCACCGCACTTGTCACAGCATATCAGCAAAAACATCCGTGAGTGCATCGCACAAATGATCCCTTTGGCATCGGCGGGAAGGGGATCATCCAGTATCTGGCACCCTGAGCCACGAGTATTTGTGGCAAACAAGGAAAGACCTTCTCCAAAAAGAAGTAGACGCCGTTTTTTGTGTTCCGGCCTGATGCCCGCAACTCAATAAGGCGGGAGGAGTTGAATGAATGATTGTGGTTTTGAATTCTGCAGCGCCGTTGCTGGGGAGTTGACGATGTGGGAGTCATTTGGACTGCCGTTGTCATCTCGCTTGGTGGCTTCAACCTCCCATTCTCAACTCAACCTCGTGCAGCTTCAACAGCCAGAAACAGCTGCTGTTTGAAAATGCGATTGGCTCGCTTCAAGAACCAGCTGGTCACACCGTGCAACAAGCTTGACCTACGCAGTACTCGGTGCATACTTCTGATTCCGTCCAGACGCCTTTCCATGCAGGTGACGGTGATGGGACTATCGAGGCGGAAGCTCGCAGCTGCAAGTCAACGCTCTCTTACTGCTCTTCCTCCAATGAGTTATCTCGACTCTTAACCAGGGAGGCGGATAACAGCTCTCTTAATCGTTTTAGTTTCTGTACGCCTGCTCTTAAATCGAGCGGTGTCGTTAACTACGGAGTAGCTCTTTAATAAATGCAGTTCTGAAAATGCCTTGGCGGAATTCCAACGTTCGAAAATGACGAACTTCCGTGAGTACAGCTTCATCTGAGCCGTTGGTTTTCGAGCAGGTCTACCGTCTAATTGAGTGATCAGCCGACGGGAGTACACAACTGAAACCTTCCTTTGGATCGTCGCCATTCATGAATCGAAGTGCAAAACCCGGTCTTATCTCGGTTACACGACTTTCTTGAAGGGGTCACACAAGCTCAGAAACTCACTGGTTCCCATCGAAGCGATTGGACCGGTCTTGACGGGATCTGTTCCCTAGGATCTGCTTTCACGGGTGCGAATCATTCACAATAGCACCCGCAGTTATGGCCGCGAGGGTGAAGAGGCATGGGGCTAGCCGCGCGAATTGCTCATGTATCGGCGAGTTGAGCGGAACCTGCAGATGTATCATCTACAAAGCCACGAACGACCGTATTTTTCCCCATCCTTTGTGAGAACGTGCCCTGAGATAGAAGTGGCTAGCACTAAGTGGTGAAACTGAACTCACTTTAGCATGTTTACGGCTGGCATTGCATAGGCCAAAGATCCATACAGGTTGACGAAACATCACATATGAACGGAAGCCTGCTCTCGACACTGTCAATCTTTCCTGCTGTTACCTTTTTGGTACTGTCCATGTGATCAACGTTTTAGTTGTTGCTTTTCTTTTGCTCTTTGGCACGGTTACCTTAGAGCCAAGTGCCGTCAAGCTCACAATGGCAGCACCGATGGATAATTTGGGAGTCAATTTATTTTTTGTAAGTATAGTTAAGATTGTGCCAAGGTATCGACCTGAAAAGCGACGACCTCAGCTCAACCGAGTTCACGCCGCGACGTTGACTCGATAAGCTCGGCAGTGTGGACAGAAACTGAAAGGGATGTGATGTGACCTACGTAGGTGACCTACGTAGGCATAATCGAACCTCTATACCAGTCGTACTTGTCCTTGGATAAAAACCTATGCAACTTGCCGTTTTACTCGATAAAGCCAATTGCTACGAATTATGTGCTTGTTGAAATTAACCGGTGCACCGGAGTACAGCCACATTGAAAGTCGCCAATAGGGCTCTCGACGGCGCAAAGCAGCTACGCGATCCAACCATGTGGTGCTGGCTAGCACGAGCCCAATCTTCACATCTGCCCTTCAGTGGTACGAATCGGAGGTTGAGGTATAAGCGGCTCTTGTACCACAAATCGTCGGGCAGAAGCCCTATTTAAGAGGAATGGACTGAAACTTGCACTTCACCCGGATCTTTCACTCAAAGCATGGAGGTTTGGGATCATTCAAATAGTTCATCCTTTATCCTCATCTGAGAATATGGGATGGGCTGCAAAGCATTCGTGATTCTTTATTTTCCAAGTTAACGCACAAGATGCGTTTGAATTTCTCAAAGCTGCTGTTTCTCGCATGTCTCCCACTTCTCGAAGCTGGGATTATCCCCCAAGCCGTCTCGGTGAGACAGCCTACAGATATTCAAAGGGTTGATGGAAGTCCTGGTACGCGAAAGTGGTTTTGTTCCAGCCTTCCCAGGGGATCGCTCTCGGTCTAACAGGCTATTAGCGTCGCGAAGCCGCGAATTTTGGAGGTCTCCTAGGAATACTGAGAAAGTTGACCTGGGTACACACATAGGAGTCCTGAAGAATCGGGGCGGCGGCACCGGCGGCCGTGTTAGCCACCCTGTCGTTGAGGGTCGGCCGAAGCCGTTTGAGGACGGCAGTCCAGGCAGAGCGGGTGCAGGTACCCTTGACATTCCGGTAGGAGGGAAAAACGCCCCCGACAGTGCAGGCCTCGGGCGCATCCAAGAACCAAAGGCACAACCCCGTCCGGAGCCACGGGTTACAGGGGACTGGGGCTATTTTCATTCGGCGGGAAAAGAAACAAAAATCTGGGCGGACAAAGTATTAGAAACCAAGCAAAAAGATGTTGCCACAAAATCATATGAAAATATGTATGACCTGACGGTGGCTGACAGGAAATTTATTATAAATTCTGATGTCGCAGACCTCATTGGAATCGAGAGAAAATTCGACCTTAGGCTCCATACATTGCGGAATAAGAAGGATTTTGGTAATAGCTACGAGGATGGTTTTCACAAAGACGGGAAATTCATCATGGCAACGGCTATTTATAAGGGTAGCAATACCAAAGTTCAGAAAGTGAATTGGGGTGATGCTGTATGGCCGTCGTGGAAAAGTGTCGCCGGAGACAAGACGGGGGACCTACGTTGGGTTATACAGGATAGTATCGCCAACGTGGACACTCGAGAGATCATAAGATCAGCGCACGGCAAGGTGGGCTATGATCGGCAACAACCGGGTGCGAGATTCTTTTATGAGGGTGCCGATGACACGATGAAAGAGGCCTTTCTGGCTTTGTCGGGGACTGACAACGTTCGAGGTACATGGCGACTTACCGCCAACCATCGTGAAGCGCTCGGTGACAAGACTGTGGTGAATATCTACTCCTTTCCAAAAGGCCCGGATCTCGTTATGGAATTGGGCCAAGCACCAAAAGTGACACCGCCACAAAAGAGGGCAACGATATCGCCTGGGACCACTACGCTTCCTCTCCGAACGGACCAGCGGTACAGAGTCTTCCACAGAGGTAGATCTTTGCTTCCGGAATTGGATGCTTACTAGAAATCCTTTCCATTGCTAGTGACAGAGTTGCAGAGGTGCAGGCAGCGATGGCCATCACCACTTGAGAGTTGAGAGTTGAAGTGATGGAATTGGACTCGGGATGAATTCTTGTTGTGTTGTTTATTGCGTCATTAACCGCTGGATGAGTGCTTCGGGTAATGGGGTTTGGAGATGGACTTTCTCTTGTCTCTGGTAGACAGCTGCAAGGTTGGGTTGGTTCACATTGAAAATTGAGGTTATCTAGTGGATCGATTGGTAGTGTTCCTTTTGGGAGTGTTGCTTTTTGAATAAATCTACACTTTATGAGTGAAGATATATGGCTGCTTCTCTGCTTCTCTGCTTCTTCCTTGCTTTTGGCTTGGGATTGGAGCTTCTGCTGTTTGTTGCTCAGCAAACTGATCACACGCTTCAGAAAGGTTGTCCACCAGCAGGAGAAATGCAACTTGGTTGGCAACCAATATTTCAAGAGATATCAAACATGGCGTCAACTGCATCTGTGTCCCCCTTGATATCATTGATCTAATCCCAGTGACAAATCTTTCGACTCTGCAGTGGTGGTAGTGCGAGTAGTAGTAGTTAGGCTGAGAAGACATGCCGATGCACTGACGGGGTCAGCGTATACTCTGCAGGAAATTACACAGATTGCTTTTGTATGATGTTGAATGTAAGAAGAGAGTCAAGGCAAGTCTGCTGAAGCATGGCAGCCAGTTGATATTACCAATTGACTGATTTTCTATCAATCAGGGCAAAATTCCTGGTTGCAGACGAAGATTAACCAGTCAGTAACTAACTAGTTACCAACTAACTAGTTAGACCCGCCAACAACCGGTCAGCTGCCATGCCAAGCCGCACCTTATTTCAACTTCAGCTCAGTGCCTGCCCCGGGTTTGTGGGACATCTACCGTGTGCTTTCGGAGAGTCCTGAGACAGTTCAACATGTCCTGGCATCATTGGAGTGCTCCCGGGGCCATTGCGCTCTGTGCTGGTTGAATGGCGGCGCCGCAGTCTCACGCAGCATGGCCGGAATGACTACAAAGAGATTTCTCGAACCACCAGGGGCACACTGCCCTCTGGCCAGCAACTACACTGATTTAGCCTCCGCCAGCCGGGGGAGCGCTCAGCGTGTCCGGAGTCGCTCTGGGAAAGGGAAACGCGTCCGGCGGAACAAGCCTTGGGCTAATTAGCTCCGCCAAAGGCTGTGCCATGTTTTCCGATTGGGATGGAACATCCCTTTTGAGTCTTTCAACAAGTCGACTAGTTTGTTTTTCACACCACAGGGAAAAGTTTTCCCCCTCTCCTCCAGAGCTTTGCTTTTCTCAAATCACACCACGGTTCTCTTCCATCTCCTGTCCTTCGACGCAAGTTTGGATGGGACTATTTCACCTCTCTTTGCATGTCCACGCCGTGAGTCGCGAAAATGGAGGTCGACGCGATCGACGCGTCGGGGGAAGATTTTGAGTTCATCTTCAACAATGTCGTCTTCCCGCCCAAACTACCACAGCAAGGGGATCAGGACGAATGGAAACATGAAGATGGGCTCCTTGCAATCGTTGAAGAAGCAATACAAGCGTTCTGTGCGGAGGGCCCTCCCAAGTCGCGGGCTATCTGGAGTTCTGTCGCTAAAACAGTTGAGAACATGAAAACGGTCAGCAGAGGAGGCCTTGTGTCCGAATCTAACCTCTGCTCTGTTTTGCAGACCGTGCATGAATCTGGTAGGGAAGATGACACTTGATAGCCGTATTATTCCTTATTTTCTGACTTGAGTAGGGGTTGCATGCTATGTACGCGCTCAAAATTGTGGAGTGATCCTGCAATACAATCCCCGCACCAGGAGCGTGGTTGTGGACGCGTTCGAAGCAAGCTCAACATGCGCGAGTGTGCTACAGGCGGAGGATTGCCTGACGCGCAACTTTCCGGGGCGCAGTGTTGAAGTTCCGTTCGAAACTGTGGCGAATCCGGATTTTTGCAAATATCTCGCACGCGAATTAGCGCGTTATTCTGCAGAACGAGTGGACGATATGCTTCCCTCGACACGAAAGGCTAGGCAGCATGTGACGGAGCAACGAGACACTGCTAGCCCGGGCCTTGTTACGGAGAATCTGATGAACCAACTGTTAGCGGTGGGGTCACATAGCGCCCATTCCGCCATCACAAAATGTGTACATGACGATGTTATTTGAGATGACTGCAAGTATCTTTGGAGAAGATCTCCTTTCTGGCTCGTATTACGGGTTTCGCTGCAAATTATCCTACATCGGGCATTCAAACCTAAACAAGGAAGAATTCAGTATAAGAACTTCATGTTACAATTGATCACGAGAGTTGGGACTCTTGCACTGGGCTTAGGCGACGCGACAACGCCAGATGTTCTCAGCCTGATAGCAACAAAAATCGGCCGTCGTGCCTTCAAATTGGGCGATCAAATTTTTGATTTCGTGTCCGGCGCAACACGTACGGCTGTGCGGCAAATTAATACCCGGCTTGAGGAGATGCGCCATGGCACCAGGACCTTTATTCCTTACCTACCTACAGAGGCGGCACCTGAAGACATGTCGATATCCCTCCGGCATAGTTTTGGTTATTTTCAACGAGCCATGAATCCGTCGGCGGAAGCCTCAACAACCAACTATGTGGTCGCACCGGGAAGAAGAAGAATGCATTTCGACCCCTGTACTCTGCCGAAACTACACGAGGCATGTGATTACATAGCTCTGGTTGATTTCGAACAATGGGTCGAAAGCAACCTCGATACCTGGGTCACAAAAAAGACAGCTTCGGATCACACTTTGCGCTCCATTGCTATTCAATTGAAATTATATCTTCGATTAGCAAGCGAAATATACTCGGTCAGCAATCGAGAGATGTCGCTGATATTTCTAGTTATCCTAGAATTATGGGTTGCAATGGATAGGATGGCCGTTCGCCTTTACCCTCTCCTGGAAGAGTATTCGCCCCCGATTCCGGCTGATTTCCTGGAGCCGTTACTCTTGCCAGAGATCAAACAAATGGAGAGAGCTTGTAAAGTGGAACATTATCTTTATGAGAGACACCGGAATGCTGACCCGACGAATCCTCCTATCCTTAGCGATCCCATCAAGGACAGTTTTGCAGTCCGCTTCTATGATCGCTCGGAAGAGCACCAAGAGCTTCACGAGACCATCGAACAGTGGGCCACTGACCAAAAGGCTGACAAGGAAAAAGAATGGAAATCAGTGACAGCCGAATATCGCAAGCTCTTGGCCAAAGCACACCATCTTCCTCACCAATACACCCCCATTAGAAAGCAACATAGAATAAACCGTTGCACAAAATGCCAGCTAGAAAATGAGGCCGCAAACCTGTAGATTACGGTCCATGAATGGCCCACAAGCTCAGACGAAGTGATCCTCAAATCTACGATCTTTGAACTGGATTGTCCTGTTGGCTTTGCCTGGTGGCGAGATGCCGGATGGATATTGGTACAGGACCTAGGAAGAGAGGACCCGATCAAGCAAAAGTGTGAACAGGACCTCCTTTCGTATAGTGAACTCCTGAGCTTTCGTGGAATGTATGGGCAACGGTTAGGACTTGCGTCAACATCAAAATCGTGGTTGAAAACTAACCACACCAGCGGCAACAATCAGCCATGCGGTACGCTCAGATTCCCGGTGGAACTCTCCCAGGTGTGTTGCAACAACGGCCTTACCCTTCGGCTCTTCGACCGTAAATCCTTCGCGTTTGTTGAAGATCAACAAGCAAAGCCAACTCTCAGACCAAGACTTGTACCCTTGATACAGAACCGTCTTTATGCTGCACTGAAGGCCACTGTCTTGTCCACAACTATCCCTCAAAACGCAGTGCTGGCTAGTCAGGCAAATTGTCACCCTCAATTGACTTTGGATGAGTTTATTGCCTATGGCTCACTTCGCGCTGGCGAAAATACTCAATGGTATAATATCCTTTCGGGAGTTGGCATCTTCGAATTTGTCTTTCAACGAGGGCGCTGTCTCCGTTCTTCTGCGCCAGGCGGCATGGGAACTTGGCTCCCGTAATTCTGATTCGATTAGGAGGGTTGCTCACAAAGTTCTCGAAGATGAGAGTTTTGTTAGTCGGCTAATAGCTACGCTGGAACACCGCCTGAATTCAATTAGGTCGAACTGGAAAGAACAGGAAACCCTCTCTACTCTTGTAACTCTTGCTCTCCGTGCGTTATCTCTGAGTGAAGATCCTGAAATCATTGACGATGCGATTAGCTTCCTTCGCGATGCGAGAGAAGTCGCGTACCTTTGGTGCGAGAAACTCTCCGAGTTGTTGAATTCGACCGAAGGTTCTGACAACGATAGCTATCAACATCGGATTCTTCTGGCAAGTGCCATTTGTCAAAGAACATATGATGTTGAAGCAAATCACATGGATAATTTGCTTTCTACTGCGCTAGATACGGAAAGATTGGTCCGGTCATCCGTTATTTTCTATGAAACTTCACCAAGCGAGTCAGACGGGACTGCTGCAACTGAATTACGGGAAACTTTATTGCACGGGCGAAGAATTCTCCATAGGGTGGAAAAGCGGTTGCGTGAACTTATACGCAACGATCCGTCTGGTATGAATGCCGCTATTGGAACAAGTATGGAAGGTGTTACACTACTAGGTCAATGGCAATTTATCGCCGCCGACTCTGAAATAGCGTACAAAACCCTTGGGGAAGATACCCAGACTAGCAAGCGGATCATTAGATATGATTTGCTCACGGGTGAACTGCTGATCAATGGCCATCCTCCGGGCAGACTCCCCAAGAGATATACAAACACTAACCTGTATCGAATGATGTTCAATGCGGTATGACCCTGGGCTGGATATGTCTTCAGAAAGTTTAACTAACATCATCTAGGGACTTTTGACGGTAATTCCATCTGATCTGCCAGGCGCCGTGTACGCGGCTACGAAAAAATTCGGCGAATATGAGGTGTGTACTTTGTTTTCGGGTCGCTTGTCAGCCTATCGTTCATTGCACTGATTGCTTGGGTGACAGCTCCATTTTGGCTTCCATGAAGGAGTATTGCGTATCACGGCACGGTCTTCAGACCAGTTGCTCCAGTTAGTTCCGCGAGACCGGTTGGAACGCGATTTTCCGCGCTCACTCGTCGACAACTATTACCACTGGTTGGATCCAAGCACCGGGGTCGTCGAGTTTCGACCCATTGCCGACAAGTGGAATCCATCCAAAGATAACTGGCATCTTAGCCTTGACCTCCATTCACCAGAAAACTGTGCCATGAGGCGTGGGGATATAACGCTTGTTGACATAAACAGCAAGCTCTACCAGCAGATTGCAGAAATCTTGGCTAGACTAGATTCCAGTGAACATGTTCATGTTACAAAGTTAGCCAACGGCTACATCGAAGCAGAATTAGTCCGTCTAAAGTTACGGCTGTTTGTCAATGACGAGGGCCTGTTGGAATGCAGAGAGCTCAAAGCGATAGTCGATCTTGACCAAGATATCGGATGTCTCCACCGCCTGTATCGCAAACTGGTTTTGAAGAGCTTCGATAGCAAGGATGCAATTCGCCGTAGCGTCGTGATACCCTACGGTGAAGTTAGCATCTTGCCAAGTAGCCACGGAGCCCAAGTCTTCGTTGAGCTTCCCCCGGCCGAATGCAAGCGTGTGAGATATTTTCGATATTGGCTCAACGATCATTTGCGAACTCTTCAAGGCCCACATGATATGCTCGCCACTCTTTATCAGTGCTATCTACATGCCGTCACCGGATATGTGCTACCAGATCCATTCACAGGAAGGTTAGGCACTGACGAAGCGCTTCGGGGTTTGCGCCAACAACGCCTATTTACATCGATGGCACTGGATACTGATTGTATATTAATTCTGAAAAAGATTTCTGAGCTTACACCTAGCCGCCACCTACATCCAAAGAACTTGAGAGTGATGCAGACTGTCACTTGGAATCTTCATCTGAGCCAAATTTTGCAGCACGACGATTTTCACCCAGCAGCAACCGCCATAAAAGACCACGCGTCAAAATTTTCCGCGTTTAGGAAGGACACGGAGTCTGCAGAACAACTAGGCGAACATGGCGATCAACTTCTGATGTCAAGAGCTCGTGTTATCAATTCTAGATGGAGAGTGCCCGATTTCGGTGGGAGTTTGGCGCCGCCTCGTGATGAACGACCAACCGGTGAGCCCCGGGATCGGGATTATCAAAATGATCGCGCTCAACGAGTCTATGAAATTGCTGTTCTGATTCGCGATTGGCCGTCAAAAGTGCACCACCTTGATATATATGATCAAGCAAAGGGTTGGACATGGGCATCCGCAAAACCATTTGATGGGACGTGCCTTGGAGAGTATGATCTTTCCATTTCAGATTCTTTTGGCTCGTTATACGACTTTTGTCGCAACGCGAGCCGAGATGATACTTTCAAATTGATGTCCAGATTCTGTATGATCACTTATGGCGGTAAAATAAATGTTGGGTTGCTCCGAAGCTTTCTTGCGATTGCTTTTTCAGGCCGATTCAGAGACCTCCCGATTCCCAGGTATCCAGGAAGGGAGTCCTTATATCGTCCTAACTCGTGGAGAGTCGCTGGACAAGGGTGAGCTGTGGACCGCTTTGGCAAGCTGTTGTGATGTGTTTCAAGGAAGCTATAACCCATTCGACTCACCTGATGAAGCTGAGGAAATGGCGAAACTACGAAAGCAACATGAATCCAACAGGTTAGCCGCGATCAAAGAATGCTACAGTCAAATTAAAGCAGCATGGCCAAGCCCCAGCCCGACATTAAGAAAAACCCCTAAAACTGGGGTCATCAGACTCGCGGATGCATCTAGCGCCTGCAGACAGCTATGTGTGATTTGGTACAACAATAACTCTTTTTTGATGGTCTTCGTGAAGCAAAACAGCGATTGAAATCGTTACAAGCCAACGATGTCCAGCAATGGTCGAATCCACCTCCTTTTTCAGTTGAAGAGGGTTGCAATGCGCTAATTTTCCCAACACTAGCGAGACTCATGGTTTCAACAGTTCCATCCAAGGAATTTCCAGGTATAGAACCGTTGTCGGCCTCTAGAGCTTTTATTCCTTACGAATTTGTGTCAGACAGCTCTGAAATCAACGAGCTTGTAGGAGAACTACAGCAAAATCCAAATCCACGATGGAAGGAGTATGGTGACCATTTATCTCAGAGCTTAACTGCTTTGGAGAAATCCAAGCTACCCTGTGAGACGTTCGAGATTCCCATCAGACGTCAAGTCTTGGAGAAATACAAAAGATCATTGGAAGTGCTCCGAAGCGAAGTTCTATCTGAAATTCGAAGCTGCTTAGTACCAACTGAGCAAAATCCGCTAAACATATCGTTCGAAGCGCTGTTTTGGCCCGGTATCACGACTCAGTCCTTGCTGTCCTTATTATCAACTGCGAAATATACAGATCTATCTCCTCAATGGAAGAAAATTCTGGTTTTCTTCGGTGTCACTATTTCCTCTATCCAACGCTGCGACCGACTTCTCTCCCATCTCGACCGCAATGATGTTCTGGGTTTTTTCAAGGAAGCAGAAAACCTCGGCCAACAAGGGTGGGATCCTTTGGAAGACCCAGACTGGCTCCTCCTTGAAATTGAAAACAATCTCACCATTCGAAAAGAGCAGGCAGAAGTTGCACGTCAAATGATCCAACCAGACTCCAACGGGAACACAGTCTTACAGCTAAATATGGGGGAGGGAAAAACCTCAGTTATCACTCCCATGGTTGTCTCGAAGCTTGCAGACGGCAAAAATCTAGTGCGAGCCATAGTTCTACGACCACTCCTGCGGCAAAGCATCAACCTGCTTTCGCATCGGCTTGGTGGATTGATGAATCGCCGCATTTATCATATTCCATTCGATAGAAAGACTGAAATTGGAGTCTCAGCTGTGGTGGGCCTAGCAAAAATCTACACGGAATGCAAGAAAGAGCATGGCATTTTGATATCCCTCCCAGAGCATATTCTTTCCTTTCGACTAGTCGGGATGGACCTGGCTGATAAGGATCGGCTGGCCGCGGAAGTTGTGCTAAAGCTGGAACGCTATCTCCAAAATACATGCCGCGATGTCATCGATGAGAGCGACGAAGTCCTCCACACTAGATTCCAGCTTGTGTATACCATGGGAAACCAAGAAATCATTGATGGTGGCGTTGATCGTTGGGGGATTTCACAAAATGTCTTTCGATTAGTTGAGAAGCACGCTCATACAGCAGATCCTTTTGGGCTAGAAATCGAGTCCGACGAGATTGCGTTCCCGAAAATAAGATTTCTACATCCAGATGCCATGGGCAAACTCGCAGATGCGGTTATGGGAAGCATTGAGAAGGGCGAATTATCGGGGGTCCCATTCAATCACTGGCGGCCGAAGGTTCGGGAGAGCGCGTCGAGTTTTATCCGTTGCTACAAGGTGTCCAAGGGTGACGCCGATACTGTTCTAGAGGCCTTCAAGGACCACATTTGCTTCAACAGACTTCTCATCCTACGTGGTCTTTTTGCCCATCGGGTTTTGGCCTTTGCACTGCAGAGTAAACGCTGGCGAGTAGAGTATGGCCTACATCTGCCTCGCTGCATGATGGCAGTTCCATTCCGCGCCAAAGATGTCCCTTCAGAAAATTCTGAATTTGGCCATCCCGATGTTGCGATTCTGCTGAACTGACCTAGGCTACTATTACCAGGGCCTCACGAGTGAACAGGTCCAGACTTGCTTTTCCCTGCTTGCGAAAGAGAATGACGGCGCTAGTGAGTATCAAAATTGGATTTCGCGAGGCAAGAAGCGGTTATCCGTCGGGCTACGTGACTTAACAGGCGTCAATCTAGACGACGTGCAGTCCTTCAAATGCCACCTCTATCCCCACCTCCGTTACCAAAAGGGGATTATTGATTTCTACCTTTCGAACGTGGTTTTCCCTCGGGAGGCCAAGCAGTTTCCTATGAAACTATCGACATCTGCTTGGGATATCCCGTCCCGAACAAAGACGCGGTCTACTACTGGCTTTAGTGGCACAAATGATAATCGATCTATGCTTCCTCTCTCGATTGAACAAAAAGATCTCCCAAATTTAGCCCAAACCAATGCCATGGTCCTAATGACTCTCTTGAAACCAGAAAACCGATCCTTCGTCGTGGCTCAAGACGACACTGGGCGCCAACTTGGGACAGTACCACTTCTAGAATTGGTACAATCTTTGACACCCCGTGTTCAAGTTCTTATTGATGTGGGCGCTCAGATATTGGAGTTGGAGAATTGCGATGTGGCGAAAGAGTGGCTTGCGATTACTCCAGGCGCCGAAGCTGCTATTTATTTCGATGATCGGGACGAGGCCATGGTGGTTGACCGGCATCATCACGTTGAAAGCCTGATTGCGTCACCTTTCAACGATCGGTTGGATAACTGTTTGGTATTCCTTGATCAGCACCATTCTAGAGGTGTTGATCTCAAGCTGCCAGTCGACTCTCGCGCAGCGGTGACATTGGGCCCTAGATTGACTAAAGATAAGCTGGTTCAAGGTAAGTCTTCTCCCCCTTTTCATCTACCCAATAGACCAGTTTGGCTGATTTTGTGAAGCATGCAACCGATTGCGGAAGCTTGGTGGCGGGCAAACTGTCGTGTTTCTCTCGCCGCCTGAAGTGAGCAGCAAAATCAGAGAGCTGTCTGGCATGCTCGAAGACCACCAGTTAAATTCATCCCATGTGATTCGATGGACATTAGCTGAAACTTGTGAAAATATGGACTCCTTGCGTCCTCTCTGGGCCCTTCAAGGCCTCGATTATTGTCGCCGTTGGGAGATATGGAAAGAATTGGAAGCCAGTGACTACGCTGGCGGCGTCGTCTACGATATGCAAGAATGTGAATCCAGGCCTCTCAAGGAAGCATACGGCGTGTGGCAAACCCATAAACCCCTAGCAACAACTTTAGAGACCGTTGATGGCAGCGATCCAATTGCTCGGAAGCTTCAAAAGGCGTGGGAAAGCCTTGATCTTGATGAAGCCATGGGACATCTACTGCATGAAGAACAAGAAAGAGAAGTAGCTTGTGAAGTTGAAAGGGAGCGCCAGGTTGAGCGTCCTGCAGCAGCAATGGGAGCTCGGCACCAACTCCATCCAGATTTGAGGCATTACGCGACACATGGGACCTTTGGAGAGCAGAACAAGTCGAAAGCGGTCGAGTTGGCTTTTGACAGCCTCAAAATGACCACCGCAGCCAGATACCTCCCGCGTCGCCTTTCGAGCAACTTGTTTGTCACGCATGATTTCGCCAACACCGTCAAGAATGCAGGCCGCGACGAGTTCGTGAAGCCTGTAAACTGGCTTCTTTCGAGTGTGCATAACAATGACCTCATTATAATCAGCCAGTATGAAGCCGACCGTTTACTACCAATCATCGAACTGTCCAGAAACACAACGCTCTCGGCCTACGCCCCCAGACTGACCCAGACCATGGCATCCTTCCGCGATCTCGATTTCGTGGCATTCGAGCAACAGCCGCCGTCGGCCAGAGCGCTAGCCGCCCTGCCCCTTCGACAATTGGAGTTTTTCGCCGGAAACCTCTACTTTGACTCGTTTGCGCTCTACCAGGAGTTTTGCGGGTTTCTGGGCCTGGTCACGGACCAGACGCCCGACTCAAAGAACGTGACGGTCTCGGACGACGGGTTTGTGGACAGACAGGGCCGATCTGTGCTGGGTTGGCCGGTGGCGTGTCCGTTTACGTCGAGCCCGCTGCAGCTTCTGAACACGCTCGTGGCGATTCAGAGGAGAGGGCAGGCGTTTCAGCGGAGTCATGTGGCGTGTATTCTTGATCGGAAGATGCTGACGGAGGAGGATTTTGCGGCGAATTGAGCTCGGTTGTGGTGAGAGAGGAGCGGTGGAATTTTTTCTATTTACTTTTTTTCCTTTTTTTCATTGTAATAATAATGTGAAACTACTTGGGAGGATGTTTTGATATAGAGGGGGGGTGGCTGTTTGAAGAGTTTTAGCCGTTATGATATTAGACTGTATAACAATCGAGGCTGTTTAGATACCAGGCTTGTTAAACTGAGTATCACGGGTGAAGGCTCATCTTACATATCAGCGCATTGATCTATGAATGAGAGAACGTTGGTATGATAATATGTACAGTCAAGTCGTATATACTGGGAAAGATTGGAATATATACAAAGAAAGACACAAGATCCACCATCAGCAAGCCGATGCGATATATACAGTCTTGATGCAAAAAAAAGAGCCAAAAAATGGCGTTACCAGTCATATCAGCCAAAGAAAAAACTCCCCCAAAATAAATCATATCGAGAAATCGTAACACCCGTCGTCGGGTGGTTTCCTTATCGTTTCTTTGATAGAAAAAAGGGAATTCGTGATGTTGCAAATGCGAAGAAAAAAAAAAAAAATGGCTTTTTCTTTTCGTTGAACCAGGCAACGGAGGGATTGACGAGAACCCGCCAACTCCAGAATGCGAACTTCCACCCCCAGATCCATGCATAGAGGCATAAAGGAGAAATCAAAACAAAAAACTCCCAAGATGCTCCAATTGAGATATAAGAAAAAGAAGGAAGGATAGCCAATCGAGTTAAAAGGACGATGATCCCCTACTCCAGCAGCGCCTCGACGCGAACCGCCTCCCTCGGAATCTCCAGACTGCGATGCACCCTGCCCCCCGGTGTCAGTGGGATATCCACCCTCGCATTGCCGCGCGTATTCTCGTCGTACTCGCGCTCCGTGCGATGCAGCCGCTCAAAGTAGTCCAGGGCGCCGCCGTCGTCGTGCTGCGTGGCGGCGGTGTACGGGGGCGGCGGGCTCATGGCGGGCGGGGGAGGGGGGATGTCCTCGAAGGGGGGCGGGGCGAAGGAGGGGAGGCGGATGAGGTGGATGGGGCGGGTGGGATTGTGGTTGTTGGTGCTGTTGCTGTTGTAGTCGGGGACGTTGAAATGGGCGTGTTCGGGGCGGGGGAGGGACAGGTGTGGCGGGATGAAGGACGGGTCGTTGGAGAGGCTGAGGAGCATGCTGAGTTCGCCGAGGCCGGAGGAGTTGGTGCGCGAGGGGGATTTGCTGGTGGGCTGGGCGCCGGGGCAGCCGCATTCGTATTCCTCGGAGGGGAAGGAGGACGGGGAGGTGTAGGAGGGGAGGTAGATGTTGGACTGGGTGGCGAGGCAGGAGAGGATGTGGAAGGGGGAGTCGATGGAGATTTCAAAGTGGCGGCGCTTCTTGGGTGCGTTTTCATCGGGCTTGGACAGGCGGAGGACGATCTGCGGAGCGGGTTAGAATTACGCGGGTGATGCAGGGCTATGTGTTGGGAACTTGCCTTGATCCAATGGTTGATCTCAATGTTATCCGATGCCGTGTCACAGTGCAGCCGCTGCGACGAGTCTCGGTCCTTCATGAGCGGGCAGGTGTGCAGCTACACATTAAATTCCAGCTCCGGCGGGCTGGCTCCAAAATCTCTCTCCATGTCACCCAGCAGACTCGTGCGAAGCGAGTTTACGACCTCGTGGCCCTGCGCCGCGGAGGCACGGCGGTCCCAGTCGATCCCACCGCCCGCGGTGACGCGAACCTTGCTCCCTGGATAGGTGCTCACACTGGGGGAATCGGCGCGTTTCTCAAACAGCATCAGCTGCCGGCTGCTGTTCATGCGATGGGCCGTCCTGCCGGTGGTGTACTGCTGGATGGACTCGGTGACGTAGACCTTGATGCGGTGGCAGGCGACTTTGGCCAGGGGGGTGAGCTTGAAGGCGATGGGGATCTTGGCGCCGAGGGGGAACGATTTGCCGGAGATGACGATGTCGTAGTGCAGCTGGTCCTCCCAGTTCCGCGAGATGGCGATGGGCTCGACCTGCTCCAGCGACCCCTGCGAGGGCGTGCGGACCAAGAGCACCTCCTTTGTGCCGAGCAGGTTGGGACGAAAGACGCCGGCACGTTCGACGCTGGCGTCCAGCCAGTACTTGGTCGAAGCGTAGTCCGTCTTGATGGTTTCGGGCATCCTGGAGTCAATGGGCAGCTCAAAGTTGTAGATGTAGTCACCGGGACGGAACAGCTTGTAGCCGCGTTGGGCGACGGTCTGGCCAGGCTGGGACGAATCGCCCTTGACGAAGCTGCGCGACGGGGTGTGCTGGAGGGACAGGCGCTTGATGTCGCCGGGAAAGCGGTCGAGGCTGGTGGAGGAGCCCGACTTGGGCATGAGGTCGACGGTGGAGAACGGCTTTGAGCGATGGAGCAGCTGCACCGAGTCTGTACCGTAGCCATGCTCGGCGCTTTTAAACTGGGCATTGAAGAAGGGCCAGGTGTGGGTCATGAGGCTGCGGTCTTCATTATACTGGCCTTTTTTGCCTGGAATGCCTAGGGAGAGGGGGAGGGTTAGTATGGGATAAGGGGAGAGTACACATTGAGGAGCCTCACCTTCTGGCCACGAAGAGCTCACCATGCCCTTGAAGCTGAGGTAGATCTTCTTGACCTTGGTGGGCTTTGTGACCTTGACGTGCAGATGGCCACGCAGCATGGCGGTCTTGGACGGCTCCCGCCTGTCGAAGCCCTCGAGGTAGATGACGGGCTCGGCCTGGGCGATGGAGACGGTGATGCCATTTCCGGAGGCGACGACCTTTTCGTTGACCAGCGAGGGCAGCACGGACGAGCCGGCGTCGGAGGCCAGCGACGAGCGGCGCGACGCGGAGTCGAGGTGGTGGAGGCGGTCGCGGAGGAGGCCTGGGTGGTGGTGGCCGGCGGCCTCGTAGTCGACGCGCATGTCGGCGCCGTGATGCTTGTGCTTGGAGGAGGAAGGGTTCGCACTGGAAAGGCGAAGGAGGAGCCGCTTCGCGTGGTCCCGTTGCAGCGCCAGTTTTGAGAGAGATCAGTCACGACGACGGATGGAGCTTGGGGCTGGATATCCGAGAGCGGGCGGCCATGCAGGATCACCATATAGAGAATGCGGGAAGCTCACGTCAGGCACGCCACTCGGGGCGATAATAGAATTTTCGGGGGGATTGAGTTTCTGGGCGAGAAGAGCAGAGATGATTAGCAAGTTAAAGGGAAGCAGAAGATCAGGATAAAGAAGAGCAGGAAGGTTCAAGAAGTTGGCACTCGCATTGACGTAAGTGCAGGGAGTGCCATAGAATAACTAGTCAACTAGTATAGAGAGTGCTGGTTATATGATTGATATCGATGTGGAATCAACGGATGATGTCAATCGCACACTAACTAGTCGATTGGCGGATCTGGCCGAAACAGCAGCAACAATAACATTCCGCTAACAACTTCTCTCTCTATCCGAGCCAGCCCCGAGCATCTCCCGCGTGACCGGACTCGATGTCCGCGGAGGCTATATCCTACATACATACTTCTCACGCAAACCACGAGTCGTCCAGCTCGCCAATCTCCGCGCCGTGCAGCAGCAGGTCGTCGCCCTCGCCCGCCAGCTCCGCGCCCACAAACAGGTCGTCAAACGTCGACTCGCCCAGCCCGTCGTCCATGGCGAGATCCGCGCGGCCCGCGTCCGACGGCTCGACGGCGGCCTCGTCGCTGCCGGCGTTGGCGTAGGTCTCGAGCCCCGGCAGCAGCGCGTCCAGCGTGGTGTCGGCGGAGTGCGGCTGGCCGTCGTGGTCGCTGGCGGGCGGGGACCCGGGCGGTGCGGGCGGCGGGACGGGGGCTGTGGCGGGGAGGGCCAGCTCGGCGCTGGTGGTGGGCGGGGGGGTGCGCGATGGCGGGGCGGGCGGATCTTTTTTGTGATGGATGCGATGGCTGCGACTCGGGTTCTGTCTTGACGGGCGCGTCTTCCGCTTGCAGAGGGGGCGCGCGCGTTGTAGTCGTGTTCAAGAAAGGCTTTGGCCAGGAGCTAGGCCTATGTTAGCGAGGGGGAGATGTCAGGCGATGCGGACGTACAATCTGCTCGGAGAGGGCGTCGAGGGCGGCCTGGTAGCGGTCGTGGATGGGCGGCAGGTTGTGCTGCAGCTGGGAGCGGGTCTGGAGCGAGCCGCCGGAGCGAAAGAAGCGGCCGGTCTCGATGAGCTGGGGCTGTCAGCGGGGGGAGGGAGGGACAGGGGACAGAGGGAGCAGACCGTCTGGTTGACCATGGCGGTCAGGGTGTTTAAGGCCTCGTCGGAATGCATGTTGATGTGATGATCCATTGATATAGACATCTCTTCTCTATAGATAGTGCTATATATCTGATATCTTGATAAAGCTAGCGTGCCAAGGCCGGAAGAGCGCCAACCCTGTGACTCAGCAGGCTAACCACATCTGGCTGTGTTGCTCTTGTGCTTCTTTTGCTCTCTTTTGCTTGACTCTTTACTCTTGACTCTCTCTGCTCTCTTCTGCTCTCTCTCTCTCTCTCTCGCTCTCCCGCCTTTCCAGTGTTCAGCTCAACTCGCGTGTTTTGGCTTGTTCGCTTTCCTTGCTGTTTTTCTTTTTTCTTCTTTGCTTCTCTCCATCCACCAGCTTCTCTTCTTCTTGTCTTCTACATCCTCGTGCTTGAAAAGTATTGCCTGCTTAGCTGTAGCGTTGTTGGACTGCCACTCGAGTTGCTGTTTTGGGTCATCAAAAAGTCCGCCATCCAATTCCATCTCTGTGAGTCCATTCAGCCCGGTTTTGGATCCCAGCTCGCCCTCCGTCCTCCCATCGACCCGCGCTCTCGTCTTCTCTCTCCAGCCGTAGCCATTCTGTCGAGTAATCTCTCTTAATCCCCTCCCTTCTTCTACAATGGCCGACAACGCCCCTCCAACCACCTCCTCGTCCCAGCCCGCTGCCGGCATGCCTGGCCAGCAGCAGCAGCAGCAGCAGCAGCAACAGCAGCAGCACCAGACGCCGTTTGACAACCCCCAGGGCAACGGCCAGGGCAACGAA